CATTGCAAGTTCTAATTCTATACACAGTACCTAAACCTTCTCACTAACTAGGAGACCAGCCAGAGCTAGAGCAAAAGACGTCAAAAAGGTGTCTCATACGTGACATCACTTCCAGCAACAAATTCACATGATTCTGTCAAATCTGCCTGACCCAGGTCTAGCTCCATCAAGAGAAGACCATGTAATCTCCAGCCATAAGGGCAGATCAGGTGTTGCCCATTTGGCACCTACAAGACACCCCTTCCCTCCCTGCTCTCTAAGATTAGTCCCTTAACTCCTGTCCTGCAGCATTTCAACAGTCCAAGTCACTACATGATCCCAACTGATGAGATCTAGCAACCTGATTAATATGACCTTCCACAAAAACAGTGTGCCAACACTTATCTGAGGAGTTTTTCATTGTCGTTGGTGGTGAAGACAAAACAGAATGGGAACTATATCATAAAGTCTTTTTTTTTTTTCAGTGAGGGTGTTGCTGAATCCTTCTTCAATTTAATGTTACAACCAGTCTTTAATGAGACTGGTTGCAAAGCTAGATGCTGTCAACATAAGCCTTTTACAATTCCTCTTCCTCATTTTTTTCATGTATTTCCATAGGAGTTTTTATTCATCCAGTGCAGCACTCCAGGCAAAACACCTGTACAATCCCAGAGAATCATATCTCTGCAGATAATTTGCCCTGCCTTCCCCATACTACGTGCTTTTGTGTGCAGGCATTAGAGACAGACCCAATGTCCTGCTGCATTTACAGAAGGGGAAGAACCTCCCTTATCAGGCTTGTCACCTAGACATATCTACTCTGCCCCTTATGATCTTTCATCTTCAGGTTATGGTAACCTTCCATACCCAATCTAATAGTCTCCTCAGCAGATCAGTAAGCCTAGTTTGTAGAGATACTCTTGTTTCACTTTTAGATTTATTCCATCCCTGCAGAGAAGCCCTCATTTCTCTGGTCCTAGAAGCCAAAGCCCCGTCTTCAACAGAAGCCATACAGTACATTGCTGCCCAATCTTTCTTCCTCCCAGGATTGGCAAGACAAGATCTGAGCTCCACACCCTTCAGCCTCACCCCTATACCTCTGTAGTTCCCCTTTATATGCTCCAGGTTACCTCCAGAGCAGTTACCTCTGAATATCCACAAGTAAGAGGAAGAAGAGGTCCACATTAGAAGGCTGGACAAATCTTGGCTGTGCATCTGCAACAACCCCAGATCCTGGCACCTACCAAGCAATAAAACTCCTGGGACATCACATGAGATCAGAAAATACAGGCCTTGATCATCCACGAGAAGAATCTTCAGTAATTTTCTGTGACTGGTACCTATTACTCCTGACTCATGGTACAGCACTGCTGCTAGAGTACAGTGTCATCCATTACAGAACAGGGAAGTGTAATTGCCATGAGATATTTGGATGGCAGAATCTTCTGTGACTGTTCACTCAACTCCTTTCCAGAGTTTCACTAACACACAGCTCATGCTAAGGCCTGATATAACTACAAATCTGTGGCCAGCTCTCATTCAACCAAGGATCCTTAAAAGAACCTGTCTGTCTCCACAGTGTGAGAGAATGTTGGTCAACACTATCAGTCATTTTCCTCCTTTTGTGTGAACATTAAATTCAGGCTCAGCTGACTCTGATGGGTCTTGTTGATCCTCACCAGTGCTCAGGATACTACATGTATTCTGAAACTGAAGAACAGCAGGTGAAGCAGATCTGTGACTTTTTGTTGCTAGAAGCCACAAAAGCCTTCAGTCTTCTCTGTCTCAGTAGTCTCTGTCCACTTGGTCTCCAGCTGGCTGTCCTTCCTCACCCTGTGTAGCTTGGGTTTTCCACAAATGCCACATTAGTCTCCTCTTCATCATGTCCCGCCATCTGGAATGTCAGGACCCTGACCACAGCACATCTCCCACAAGAGTGGCCACCACTACCCTGACCTCTGGGAAGACACAGGAGCTCTCTGAAGCATGCAACAGGGTACAGGACTTCCTCCTAACAGAGCCAAAGGCTCTGATGTGCTAATGGCAGTTCTGCAGACTTCTTCTACATCTTAATGGATGTCCATGTGCTGGACAGTATGCCCGGCAGCTTTTTCAGACTACCACTGTATAATCTTCAAGAAGAGCCACATAGTCTTAAGTGGAATTCCTAGGCCTCTGCATTTCTGCTCCAACAACTGTTTTGTCTCATTTAGCACACTCTGTGGGCTGCACTCTGGCCTCAATGATCTTGCCCTAACAGGTGCATTTTGGTGAAAATATGATCTTGCCCTCATCAACACCTCCCTGAGCACCCATTATCCTGCTCTCAAAGTGCTGTACTGCCCTGTTACCCATACTCCTCTCACTGTGAATCTGACTGGACTGAGCCCTGAACAACCTGATCTGGCTTTAAGTTAGCCCTCTGGCGAGCAGAAGGTTTGAATGAAATCATCCCAGATTCCTTGCACTTGAAATTGTTATGCACTTCTATGTCAAGGACCCTGATGAATATACACTAAAGTTCTACCAGTTTTATTTTCACAGCAAACAATGACCAAATCAAGGATCTGTTACACAGGAGATGCAGAAATGCATTCAGCATTGTTACAGCACACAGCTCTTGGTACAGGTAAAGAAAGAAGCCAAGTTTTGCTCTTTGTAACGTTTGTGTAGGAAGGAGAATAATTTAAAGGCCCTAGACTTCATTTACATGTCTGTTTATAAGCTGTCCAAGTTACAACCTGCACTGTATATTCTATTGACAGATGACTACCATGTAAGCTAATAAAGCCACTGGCTTCATGAACCTTTATCATATTCCTGTGTTTTTCTTCCTGTGTGATAATCATACATGTACTGTTCCAAGATTAGAAAGCAGCCTAAAATTCACTTGGTTTCAATGTCTGGATGCCTGGCTGCTGAGCCTTCTAACCACATCAACCACAAGCCAGGAGTTTTGTAAGTCTACAACATTCTGAAGGAGAAGAGAAAATAAACAGAAAAATATAAAAAATCTTTTATCACTTCTATCACAACATGCACTAAAATCCTCATTGTCTGATGTGAAAGCAAACTTTCCAACTGTTCTGCTGAAGGAGTGCTTTCCCCAGGCTGCCATTTAGTCCAAACATACTGCCCCTGCTGCCTACCTCCCCAAAATACCCAGTACAGAACATAAGAAGCTAAGATACAAAATTCCCCACGTGCTGCTGAAGTATTCTTATCCACAAGCTTCACTTAATCATGCTTTCAAGTCCTTCCCTAATATGTTTAGAGTAATGTATCAGTAGTCATAAAGTTTTCTGTCTGAAACCTGAACCAAACCTACATGACCTCTGAGTTTTACAGAGCAGGGCACACAGTACAGGCATGACTGACTTACCCTAGAACTTTTAAGAAAAGCTTAATGTAACTTTATCTAACCATACAGAAAGCAGCACAACTTAAAATTTCCACAATATTGACTTCCCAAAGCAAACAAAACATTAAAAGCTTGTACAGAGATTTCGTATCTGCACTCCTGGGTTGCAGAAGTGGCCAGCATTCATTAATTTACTTTAACGTCTTTAATTGCAAAGTTTGTGGGTCTTTTTTACCATTCAGGAACTAAATTAGCATGAGAAAACAAACATGAATTTTTTTCTTTTTTTTACATACACACATACGTGCTCCCAGCCTGCAATCTCCCTCCTTTTAAGCTCTGCCTCCCGCCCCTTATTTTTCCGGGTAGCAGAAGAAGATATTTCAATCCCCTTTCTTCACTTCTTCAACCTTCCCCAGAACTGCACATATTGAACAGTCAAGCCTCACATCACTGGCTCAATATTCCCCCCTCCACTCTTCTCCCCCTGCTGCTGGCACACTCATATACCTCTGCACAACTTATATGATATTACTTTGCATCTGCAAGGCTCTCCCATCCATGTCCTCCACACAGGAAGAGACTGTTCCCTGATTAGCAGACACTGATCATTTCATTGTCTGCCTGCTGAAGTACCAAAAATGGAATCAGGAGTGAGGCCTAGAAGAATGGATACAACTTGAAGTAAGAATCCCCGAACAGATGAAGTTATTCTATTTATGAAGGTAAGTGAAGAACAAAAAGTAAGGTTCAATATTTTAAGTCTGTATCACAATTACCAATTGTTTTAAATGAGAGTAGAAGAGTAATGAAATAAAATCTTGTAAAAAGGTGACTTGTTTTACAACTCAGAAGAGATCTTTCCACTTGATATTTCCACTGATCATTTGTAGAGAACCAGTTTCTGAAAAGACTGTATTTTCATTCACAGCTTTACAGGCAAAATTCAGGAGGATCACAGATTTTAGGCAGATTAATTAAACGACAGAACTATTCAGGCTGATGGTAAACACTCTAGTATCTCCTAAAATACTGGATAAAAGTGTGCCTAGCCTGGGCATCTAAAAGGACAACCAAGCTTATGCACCGTATGCTTTATAGCTTCCTTTTCACACATAAAGCTTAATACCAGTATTTTAAAATTAAAAAGAAAGAACATTATAGCTCTGACAAACTTGGAACAAACCAGAAACAAAGACCGGACAACATAATAATTATTCCCAGATTTCCAGTGTTTTGGGATTCACATGGTGTAATTAAATGTATTTTAAGATGCCTTTGCTTTTTGGTATTTCACAAAACATCTTACAACTTTTGATTGAGGCTCTAATGTCATTCTACTCTTTTTGATTTGGATACACCACTATTCATGAACAATTCGTTGTTCTAAGCATACACAAAAGCTCAGGATATTCCTGAGGTGTTACTAGGTGGTAGTATAATTCCTAGCAGGAGCAATGACAGTGCCACACAAGAACACACAGTAGTGCAGTACTCAGCTGTTGCCAAGTCTTTGCTCCCATTCTGCTTAGCAATTGCTGCCTTCGGGCTCACAGAGAAATTGGATTTGTGGATTGTAGAGGGAAGCTGTGAACATAACAACACTGCAGTAGAACAAAGGACAGGTAGAAACAATCTGTCCATGAGATCAGTAACATACCGTTACTCCAGTTAAACCTGGGCCTTTTCCTTCAATTAGTTTATACATTTCTTGAAGTGCTTCCTCATCACTTTTGCCTTTAAACCGCTTCTTGGAGAGTTCTTGAAGAGCTTCCTTAAACTGCTCAAAAGTAATAGTTCTTACAGACTTTCCCCTGTTGAAACACACAGCAATTGAAAGAAATTATAAGAGAGCACAAAAAGCATTTCAAGAATAGCAGAATGGTTTCAGTTTACCACAGTGAACAACAGAAAACTGCAACAGAACAGGAAGGCCCATGCAGCCCATTTATGGTGTCAAATGAAACATATCCCAGGAGTATCACTTTATTTTTATATGTACATCAGTAGAATAGCACTTTATAGACTTCCCTTGATGAATGTTCAATAATAAAGAGGAAATAAAGGGACTGGGTCCACTGTCAAAATGCCTGCAGCTCACCAAATTAAATACAGTCTCATTTGGTTGCCTGCATGTGCTTTAGACAAGTTCTTTAAGACAAGAATTGAAGCATCTTGGGTGAATCTTTTTATTTACTATTTTTTATTCTTCTTTGAATAACTGGTTATTATTTATAAGTCACTATTTAGTCATAAATAAATTAGGAATTATTCTATTATGTACTTTGTGTAAAGCAAAAGCGTAAAGCAAACTATTGAAAAGCATTCAAAAACTTGAAATTCCTCCTCAACTGAAGACAGACAAGTTTTTAAATGACATATTTAAATTCAATACCTGCTTTCCTTCGTAGACCATTATCTTCAAAAAACTTTTAAAGGTAACAGAAAACACAATATAGTAGTCTGGTAAACTCATAAACCTCCCAGAAATTAGAAGCTGAATACTTGCTGTAGTTTTCAGTAATAGGAAGACCACATTTTCAACATTAGTAAATTATTCCCATTTACTTTTATTTGAAAGGATTTTGCTATACAAGTGTGTGGTGTGAATGGGAAATTCACACTTTCCAAACACCAGTTTATACTGTCATTCCTGCAGATCTTTTCTGGTCCATCACACCAAAGGTTTCAGCTGATAGAACAGTTACAAACATTCACTACAGTGATGTGTTTAACTAAAAGAAGGTTAATGCATGTCTATTTTCTAGCATTTTAAAATATTCAGTTTAGGCAGGAGACAATATGGCAGAGTATGCACTGCCCCACTCAGTCCCCTAATATTAACCTAGTTTTAGTGCTCCTCATTTAAAAATTCAGGTATGAAGCAAGAGCATTAGTGAGTTTACTCACCATTAAACAAAAACCAACTAGTTTTAGTTGTTATGAATTGCAGCAGACACAAACCACATCTTTACCTGTATTAGTAAACTACAGATTCTCTGATCTTTTGAATAAGAATTTAGATCCCAAAATTTAGCCATATATTCTGAACTAAAATTTAGCAGATCACATAGAACCATTTTCAAAAAGATGTTTTGATACTTATGCTGATATAATCTTAAATAGTACCATCTTCAAAAGCAGATGTTTACAACATTAAAAAACTCTCAAAGTTGAAGTAATATTTCAGAGTCCATGTTGCTGGGAAACATGCTACTACACAAGTTTTGTTTGCTGCTTGAGCATTTCTTTTTATGTCAATTTAGAGAACATTTCAAGCAAATCAGGGAAAAAAATAACCAAGCACCACCACACAACACAGACCAGTCCTTTCAACAGAGACAGCTGTTTATACAGGAATAAACAATAGATGCTAGGACAGACAAAGTGTGAACCAGCAACAAAAATCTTGGGCTATAAAAACAGTACATGGAAATCTAATTTTAATTCAAGTGTCAAAAAGACCTTCTTTGTGAAGAGAAATTCAGCTATATGTCATGGATTTATCTTTAATCTTCTCTTAGACACCTTCAGGGTCAAATACCTCTCAGCTGGGGGATGTCTCTGCTAATGAAAAGGGGAAATGAGATTTCTGGTTTAGCAACCAACAGTGAGGAAGTACCTTCTACTTCAACTAACTAAACAAAAATGAAATTTTATCCCAGGCTTTTAAAACAAAGAGAAATTGGTTACTCGCCACAAAATTCAACATTAAGGGAACACTTTACATAATCGTTCATTACTAGCATTCTTTATTTCAATGCAGCCCAACCTATGTAGCAAATGTCAGCAGCCCCCACAAAATAAACTTTGTGTGTTTTTTGGCCAAACACTGCTGTTTGCAACTACTTCTCTGCTTTAGGTAAAGCATGTGCTGGAATATCTCACAGAATTAGCTGGTAAAAGAACATCATGACAGTAGAAATAAAGAATATAATCCAGCATTTCATTAATCAGAAAGACAGGTGGAATAAACTGCAATTAATTACCTGGAATTTCTCCAGGATTCTCATTAATAGGATTAACATCCCTCTTCTGATGAAACATGTCCAAGAACTTTTAAGTAGTGTAAGAGGTCAATACTTCACTTTGTTTTGTCTCTCATTTAGAAAAAGAAAGCACTGTCAATCACTGCAAGGCTTCATCATAACAACACCCTAAAGCCCTAAATTCTCTACAGACTCACAGCCAAGTCTAGCATACAGGCCTTGCCAAAGGCAGTTTTCTGTAGGACATAGGTTTAGCTTGGATCATCAGTCAGGATCATCACAATGGGAAAGAGAATGATCACTTTCAGCAAAACCAGCAGAAATTCATGTTGACTGGTTTATTTTTCACCAAATATTCTGAGCTGGAAGGGACCCACAAGTCCCCAAGTCATCGACTTCAACTCTTAACAATCAAACCCATGACCTTGTCGTTATTAGCATCACACTCTAAACAAATGAACTGATCCTAAGGTTTTATTAACACATGGAGAATTTTTGGTTGCATACTTATTAAATAGAAGAGCATAACTTTTTTTGTGTGAATTAAAAGGAAAGATACATAAGTATGGCTGCCAAGAGGAACAAAGAACATTTGGTCTAAGCCACAGGTATACCTACCTCTCACATTTGGGTTTTCCCTGTCACTTACATGGGGCAAGGTAATGAGTGGATATTTCCCCTTCAGCTTAAGGTATAACCACAAACTGGACACATACAGAACCAATGTAGAACTGCAGCTGGACCCCAAAAGAGAAACAAGAGTGCATTGCAGCTGATATTTTTTACCAGCAAACATTAATTGGAGTGATGTTAAAAATAGCATAGAGAGTGAAGTAATTTTTACAACTATATTCCAAGTTTCCTAAATAAAAAAGCGTTAATTTTGAAATTATCTTTTTCTACACTCCAAGAATATCCCCTCTTGCTCCACCATCTATTACAATATTATCAAATCCACTTGTAAAGCATCATAATTAACTGCAAAACTCTACAGCTGCAACACGTATCAAGTCTTGTGGAAAACCCTAGGAACACAACATGTTCTTACACTTCTGGTATGTGAGGTATGGTACATGTATGCCATGTACCAGCATCTAAATTACCAAGCAGCAGTCCTACACCAGTCCTGTCTCTAGACAAGTCTCCAAGAGCTCTGAGCAGTTCCTGTCATCATGATTACTAACGAGAACAGCATGGTCCCCTCCCCTCTGTCTGTACAGTCATGGGTTGAATGTATAGGAGACCACGGACTGAGTAGGTAGAAATTATAAAGAAGAAGTCTTTCAATAAACCTTGATTTACACTCTCTCCAATCCAGGCCCACAAAAACACCCTAGGGATAATGGCTTTTGAGTTCTATTAGGTGGAAAATTGGATATAAGCCAGCAACATGCACTCCCAGCCCAGAAAGCCAACAACTGTATCCTGGGCTGCACCAAAAGCAGTGGGAGCAGGGTGAGGGAGGGGACTCTGCTCCTCTGCTCTGCTCTGCTCTGGTGAGAGCCCACTTGGAACACTGCATCCAGCTCTGGGGTCCCCAGCACAGGAAAGAAATCAAGCTGTTGGAATGTGTCCAGAGGAGGGCCACAGAGTGATCAGAGAGAAGGAACACCTCCACCATGAAGAAAAGTTGGGAGATTTGGGGTCCAGTCTGGTGGAGACATGGCTCCAGGAGACCCTACTGCAGCTTTCAGGGGGCTGCAAGGAAGGATGGGGGCAGGATTTTTAGGAGAGTTGTTGTGATAGGACAAGGTAATGAAGGTAAATAAAATAGGGCAGATTCAGACCAGATACAAGGAAAACATTTTTAGGAGAGTGGTGAAACATTGCAAGAGGTTGTCCAGAGAAGTGGTAAATGGCCCATCCCTGGTCAGGCTGGATGGGGCTATGAGCAACCTGATCTCATGCAATATGTCCCTGTTCACTGGGGGAAGGGCGAGGTGGTGGTGTTTACCTAGATGACATGTAAAAGGTTCCCTCCAACCCAAACTGTATGAAGATTTATAATACTGTGAACTCAGCATAACACACAAGGCTGTTATACTCCTAGTTTATTTTCACCATTTTTAATGCCCTGTTCACATTCAGGAAATCCCTTCCTTATACCAGCTTTTCAGACCTCCTTAATTTAGGAAAAAACCCCAACCCATAAGCCCCCAAAAAAACTAATTCCTTTCTATTAAGCAACTGCTACAAAGAGTCAGCTTTTGTGTATATTTGTAACTTGTTTTTAGAAGCTCATTATAAATATCTCGTTTCCATGGGAATAACAAAACAAATATATTCACTTCCATTTTCCAAGTGTTACAAGTTCAAACAACTTGTCTACAATTAAGTATGCCAAGGGTGATCACTCAGCTCTTAACACTCATCTCTTAGGTTTAGCATTCCAGAGAGTTAGTATAGAAAGAAGATAAAAAAACCGTACGCTAGAAAAAATAAAATTAAAAAATTAAGGCATCAAAATGAAAATTAAAACTGACCAGAAAATAAAACAAAATGGAAAAGAGCAAAAAACAAGGGAAGGTAGGAGGGGAAAAAGGTTTTTACAAAACTAGGTGCCATAAGGTTGGCCACCTCAATGAAAAAGAACAAAATATATGAGGGACATTAATAATAAAATTTTTTAAAGCCCCATACTTCATTATGACACAAAGACACCTTTATGTTTAGAAAGGATACATTCTTACATACCATTCTATTTTAAGCTTTGCTTCTTACAACAAACAGAATTACTCTAATGCATCATCCTTTAGTGGCAGAAACCATGTCCATGGTACAATAATGACAGCCTCCTGTATCTATGCCTACATTCGGGAACAGGA